CAGCTTGACAGTGATGTCACACGGGATGGAACACGAGTCCCAACCTTTGACTGCTCCTGTAGGTTTCTGGCTTTTGACAGGAGCATCAGAGAACTCCACGTTGATTTCTGATTGGTTCAATTGCTTGATGTTTTCTGTTCCCTGGCAATAAACAGAGAAATACAGTGATGGTTAAATCCACGGGTGTAGGTCAAAAGAGGGAGACAAAACGCCCTTACAAGCCTCTGTATCAGATTTTGACCTCTACTGTTGGAGACATTATCAGTTAAATCCAAAATGTTCAGTTGGCTCCTAAACTGTATTTTTACAGGCTATTCCAATGCATCATACCATGCTTCAAAAAATGTATTTACTCAACTTTATAACAGTTCTTGAGCAGCTGCTTCTCAAATTTTTAGTCATTGCCAGAACTATTCTTAATGAATCCATAATGCCAAACCCTCCAATCTTTAACTGCATCAATATTTCTCAAAGCGGAGTCATTTGAGAGACGAGGCAATAGTTTTTTCTTCTACATTTAGAAGCAACGTTACCCTAAAAATCTCATGTTTTATATAAATTTGGGTGACAAAACAGATAACTGACTGAAGTTAAAAACATTTATGAAACACATTATATTATACATACTGTAGAGGAGAGCAGATGAGGCAGAAACAGGAGGAGGACAGTTGTTTTCCACATCATGTCAGTGACGTCTGACTGGGATTATTTCCTGAACTCTACTCCGTCACCCGCAGCCACTCTTTAATTTTTCCACACAGTCGGCTTTTTTCCTTCACACGTCCATCCTTCTCATCTACCAAGTTCTAGTCTGCATCTGCTGCAACATCTCAGATGTCAAATTTCCTCCAAGCCAGTGCCTCCCTTTTGCACTTCCACCAGTCACCAGTCAGTGTTGTTTCACCAGTCACTCCCACTTTTCCTTGTAAAATTTCTGTGACAGCAGCCCATTTAAGAGGAGGTCAAATTTGTAAATAGTCAGGTGATAAAAGTCTGGATTTATTTCTAACAGGGAGCTGAATGTGCTGACTCAAGATCTGTGGTAAAGACTGATTACCTTCCCCCTAAGTGTTTCTGTTACAAGCCATATTTTTTAGAGGTTTCTATCTGGCACCAGCATGAGAAACAGATGTGGAAAGGGAAGTGAGCAGGTTGGTTTTAATAAAGGAACACTTTCTCTCTGCTTGTGTCTTTGCGTGGGAGCTGCAGTTTTAAAGCAGGGCGCCTCTTTTTCTCCCCCCCAAATTGAACCCCTCTTCTCTCTTTGCTGACCACTGACTCATACATCTAAAACCAGCCTCCCACAGGATCAGACCAATTACTCCAGTTAACTGGGCAGTCAAGCGGTGAGGAAAGTGAAAAGTGATAAAAGGGCAACAGCATATTCCCGTCAGGGTCCAGCTGGAGCTGGCTGACCAGTCGCTTCCCTGAAGAAAAAAAACATTGCTGTGAGAGCCAGAGAAAAGATTTGCTGTTGTTCTGAACCTGTGTGAGTTTACAGCCGTGGTTGGTCAGGCAAAGGAATGTGAAAAGCCTGGTGCCACAGCCTCGGGGCCCCAACATCTGCCCCATGTTACAGAGCCCACTCTTGTGAAGTAGTCGATCATTTGAATGACATGTTGTATCTACCATGTGAGATCATGAGAACATGCAGACAAGACTGTGTGGTATCCGTTTATCATAAACTTTTATTCTTGTAAAACTTTTTGCTAGAGAAGGGAAAATATTTTGGCTTATTTGGCTGTAAGAACAGATAATTTATACCACTCTTATGCCAGAGGCAGATTTAGACAGAACCAAATTAAAAAAGACAACATCTGAGTTTTATTATGTGCTAAGCCAACAAACCACAAACCTCCCAGAGTTTTGCCATCCTCTGATGGAAACCCCTGGTTTTCAGTCCTAATGCATAGCTAAGCAACAGATGCTGATCCCAAGCTGATTATCTATCCGGCAGGTATGAGCTTTTCAATAGAAGCAAGTCAGTGTTAAAGGGGGAAAATAGACATCTCTGTCTGAAGATGACAAATTAACAACCCATTTAATAACCATCTTATTCACATGTTGTATTGTTGTTGTTTTTTTTGTTGCAGTTATCCCAAATTTGTTGTTTTTACATTGTGAACAGCAATTCAGTCAATGCCAAATTCTAAATTTCAATAAAAGTGGGTCGTTTTTACCCAAAAAGAGAGAGCAATGAAATTAGTGTGGATGAGACATAAGTGACTAAACTGACCCATTAAGCAGGCATCCCCACAACAACCAGTGCAAAAATAATTATTTTTGGATATCAATAAATCCATCTACAAATCACTTTTAAAAACATATTATTTTACGTGCATAATATTCAGAAGTGTTATTATATGAAAGTTTTCTATTACTGAAAAAAGCAAAATACAATACAAGATTGGTCTAGTTTTTGCCAATTGAATTTGGTTTCATCAGTTAAACAAAAGTGTTTCGTCTGTAGAAAGTATGACCTAAATCAAAAAGAAGGAAGAACATGTTAATTAATGAGTCATGGAAGTAGGTTATCAAAAATATATAAACAGTCACCAAAACTCAACATCAGTTTTTCTTTTTCAAAACCCTCATGTGTTTTTAACCTTCAACTTCTTTCTGACCTTTTGTTCGTTCCAAGTTTTAGTATGGATCCAATTCACTGCAGTTGTTAATGGGTTAATTAGTTCATGAGTATGAAATGAGTTGTCGGGGTAAATTAGACCAATTGTTCATTTTATATACTCAGTGCTGCTACACATTTGTCACCTGAGCAGCGGGTTATAACTGGCTCTGATTTCACAGTCAAAGAGTGTCAGTGTCTAGATGTTAAAACAGAAGAAATTTAACCAATGTAAAAGAGAATCAGATACAGGTGAAAGGTATCACAGTGCCATCTGCTGCATTACAGTTTGTATTACATTATAGGTCATGTTCATTTTTGTCTTTTGTCCACACACAGTCACAACTTGTGATTCCAGTTACATGTTGTCTATATATAGACATCAAGTTTACCATATACATAATAATTCTCCTAAATGTATTAAGTCTATTAAGTCTATGAATTTAAAAAAACAAGTAGCCTACTATTTCTGATTTAAAAGGCATACTATTGAGTATAGGGGAATTTTCCAATATGTTTTTTTAATAAAACAATTTGAATGTGTTTTTAATGCTAAATGGTAAATGGACTTGAGCTTGTATAGCCCTTTTCTAATCTTCTGACTACTCAAAGCGCTTTTACATCGCATGTCACATCTACACATTCACACACTGATGGCAGAGGTGCTACGGAAAGTGACCATCAGAAGTAATAATCCCATTTATACACACTCATACACCACCGACGGAAGATCGGGAGCTATTCATGTTAGGTGTCTTGCCCAAGGACACATGAATATTTTTTTCTCCTTGTGTGGTAAGAAAAGAATCTCTATGTACAACACAGCTTACTGCGTTTATTCCCCTGTCAATAGACATATTAAGTGTGAGTATTGTCAAGAAAGGTGTAAATGAACACACATTTGATGTCTGTTTCTCTTTTCTTCACCTCAAACTTCTTCAATTCCTTCATGGATTCAGACAGGATGTAGTCCTCACACTTAATCAGTCACACTGCTAAATGCATGTGCTGAAAACAGCAGAGGCAATGGATTACACTGTGGGAAATGTCAAATTAAACAGTGCAAACATGGAATAGTCACACTTCTGCAAATTCCATTTATTTTTTGAATCAGTTGAACACACCATTTAGAGCAGGATGTTGTCAAATAGTGAAGTAGTAAAGATTAATTTGAACTTTATGACTGCACACAGGCATCTACAGTTTCAGTGTAAAGCTGAGGAGACTGTTTAGTAAAATCCAATCAGTGTTGTAAATGTGTAACACAAGACCTGTGAGAGGCATGGCAATCACAACAATTATCAAAATAAATAGTATCAAACGAAGAGCATAACTGATAAGAAAATCTGCAAATAGAGAACATAAGATGTAGGCCTACATAAAAATAAAATGTAAAAAAAAATAAAGTATGATATAAAATGATGTTTTCTATGTCACATTATCTTAACTCTGTTATTCAGATTATACAGAAATAAACATTAAGAAAAGACTGTATGCTTTTTAAGCTGTTGTTGTTGGGTTTTTTTTTCAGTGGAAATATTCTATGTTAAACCTGCTAAAAAAAGCCCTCTAAGTTCCCCTATGATATCAAATTGTGAATTATTTTTTGCCCCTGCCCCTCGGGCTGTCTAAATCTGCCTCTGGTTGCATAGTTACACATATTTGTAAATATGAATTCTACAATGACAAATTCCACCAATAATTGAGATGGCTGAATACATGGTCATGTCAGAGCCAATGTCTGTTTTCAACTAGTATAGTCCACTACAGCCGATATTACCCTTTGTTGAATTTAATGACTCACTAACGGTGGTTACTATTTTGAAGTCAAGCCAGGCCTTTTTCTTGAATTGAAGCCAGACGAGAGCCGAGTTTCTCTGCGCGCATGTCTTCCACTAGAGGGCAGCACACGGCGGCTGTTTCCCTGCATGGACAAACAGGCTCCGGCTGGGTTGGCCTCATCAGGGGCGGATGTTTTCTCAGAGCAACTTCCCAATCTCCCCTCCCCAACAGCCCCACCTCCAACACCATCAAAACCCAGACCACCAGGCCCAGAGTCAGAAAAAAAATGATTTCAGGATTTAAGTCCTGCTTTTACATGCCCCTCATGTCTGTCATCTTCAGAGGCTTCATATTTCATAAACTGGAGGGTGTGAAAACACAATAAGAATTGCCCAGTACTGTTAATGGACTTTTAAAGCAATAATTTATAGAAAGTTATACGTTTGTGCAACTGTAGCTTTTAATCAAACATCACGAATGAACTTGTTTTGTAGGTCTCCTGTTGAAGGTTTCTGTCTGGGAGATTTTCCCCCCTCCAACTGCGGCAGCTTTAAACCCTTCAACCCCGCCCCTCAGCACTATCACATGAATCTGGACTCAACACTGGATGTGAAAAAAGTTTGGAGGTCTCGCTGAAATCTCTTTACTGCAACTGGATTCATTTATAGGCGTTATGTTCTTTTCACTACAAGAGGCTTTTGCATCGGGAATCAATGTCCGCCTATAAGTGTTAGGTTTTTTTTTTTTTTTCTCGGCTGTGTTTCTCCAGTTTATTTTTCCCCTCTGCAGGACTCCAGAGTTAGGAAAGAAAGAGGAGGGGGGGGGGACGGTCTGGCTGCTTGAAGGTATGTGGGAGGCATGTAACGTGTTGTACGAGGCTCACATTGATTTATGTCTGCGTTTCTTGCTTTAAACTGCACTCTTTCGACTCCTTTACTCGAACATTGACTTTCTTTTTACAGCTGATTACCTCTTGAGATGTTACCGTTTGAAACAGACGCACAAGGACACAAAAGTTCAAATGGGTTGGGGGGAAGGGGGGGGGGTGGTGGTGGCAAGAAGTGTAAACAAATCTGATCACAACTCCAGACGCGTGAAGTCTGAACGGGCCCTGTTGTTTATTCATTCTTTGTTTGTGTGTTTTGTTTGTGTTATGGAACTTTTCGACAGATTTGTTGCGACACAAAACTTTGGCGACATGGACGCGCATCGCGGCGGCGGCGGCGGCGCGCCTCCGGCCGGGCAGCAGATCGTGCACGTCCGAGGAGACTCGCAGACGGAGCTTGAGGCCCTTTTCAGTGCCGTGATGAACCCCAGCAAGTCGGCCAGACAGCCGTCCTCTCTGCCCATGAGGATGAGGAAGCTGCCGGACTCCTTCTTCAGACAGCCTGACTCTCGGGGCCACTCTAGACAAGTACAATAATAATAATAATAATAATACATAAAACAATACGTATAACCAATGAAGTATAGCAGACATGCTGTACACACTGAGGGATGATAATACTACAAATACAGCACTAACTGTTGTGTGTCAGTGGTGGCAATAATGATATCATTTAAGCTTTCCCTTTTTATGTTTTTTCCACATCTATTTTCAAACATGGGATGGACAAAATATCACTAATGCTTATCCCAGTCAGGCCTATAAAGTCCTAAAACAATTAATGTAGCCTATATATATACTGCAGATTATCCCTAAGTAAATACTTCATCTCAAGGTTTTTTTCTTGATAAATAATATGTAGTGTCTTAATAAAGGTCATAAAATAGGGTGAAACACATTATAAATATTAAGTTGTCCTTTGTATTCAATCCACAGTGCAAATATGCACACTTTACCACCATATGCTTTTGACAGTGAACACAATACATTGATTTGATTTTGATTTAGTTACCAAATCCAAAGCCTAAAATGTGAGGAAGGCATCATCATTCTTAATTAGCCTATCGCCTCTGTCAGTTTCTAAAAAAAAAAAAAGTATGGCAGGTATGGTTTTGACCATTTCCAACTTCAGCCCACTCATTTAATTTATTTTCTGAATCTGTACTGATGTACAAAATGAAAAACACATGAATTATTCATCCGAAAATTGACAAGATAATCTGTGAAGTTGATGAAAACCAACAACCAAGTTTTAATTTATTTTTGTTTTTTTCCTCCCTTGGTAAAACTCTCAGTGCAAGTAATTTTTCCCGAATATTTTAGTCATGTTTTCCAGATAAAGCTTGCTGAACTTATTAGATTTCATTTTATAAGGTTTCCAATATTGCAACTAGAACATAAATACCTCCAAACAGCCGACAGCTAAGAAAGAAAGGGCATGTTGACATAGAATTTAATAGGAAAGATGGTCCTGTATCACAATAATCAGCTTCCGATTGATATATCAACATAGGCAGACATCATCTTCAGTTTAATGAAACTATGATGCACATTTCTTACTGACATTTTACATTTTAATCGACTATGCTATAAAGCAATCAAGAGAGGGGAGGGGGGGATCAACAGTTTCAGCCCTAATGTCCATCCTTAGTGAACATTTTCACATCATATGTTTGGCTGCTTTACTTTTCTCTGATTGTGTTATTCAACTAAATCCATTTAATGTCATCTATGAATGATGTTGCAACGCTTTTGACCAATGCTACTCTATATTCATTCATATTTCAGTCATATTTGGTGTGTTGTTTTATCATAATAAGATGGTCTAACTCGCCACATTAAAGAAGTTTATTCTTGAACTTTAAGTGTATCTACAACTGGCCAACGTTACTTCTGCAGCCTAGGCAGCAACTATCTGAAATGCCCTGGATTTCATGATACATTGTTTTTAACTATCCAGTGTGCAGGATAACTCTGGGTGTTAGGTGGTGGGAAAATCTGAAAAATGACAAAGAAGAAGAGGCTATAAACAACTCTGACTATGGGTTTATGATTTTACACAGAACACACTTAGACCATACAGATGAGAACATAGTGGGATCAGTCCTGTCTGTGAAACACTGAGCATGTTGAGGTTCACCAACACAGCTACAGTTATTGGGTTTTCAGGGTGCAGTAAAGGACTAGATCTGTAAATGTAGTCACATTGAGAGTATTTCACCTGTAAACTACTTAAAGGACTTTCAGGTTCTATCACCAGACATTTTAATCTGCTGGCAGTGAAAGTTCTTGGTACAAGTTGTACACTTGTCTTGAAGTGTTTCACTTTGGTATCCATCTTTCTGATCGCTGTTTGTGTCAGTAAATAACACCCTGTTTGTTTCTCGTCAGGCCAGTTCGGATGGAGGTGTGTGCGGCTCCCTTACTCCTCATCACGTCCGCGCCCATTCCTCCCCTGCCTCCCTCCCAGTCAACTCCCTCTCCACTCAAGCAGCTGATGTAGCAGTGACGCCGATCATACCCGACGATGTGCCACTCCCCCACGGTTGGGAAATGGCCAAAACGCCTACTGGCCAACGTTACTTCCTCAAGTAAGGTCGAACTTCTTTTAGGACTGGAAAGCCCTGCTGGTTCTAAACTTCTACATTATTCCTGTTAATGGCTTTAACCTACAGTTATTTTTTATTGAGTTTTGTTGAAGTATTCTCCTATAAAATGACAGAAGTTAGTTTTAAATATACAGCCACAGTTCCTGAAAGCTCAAGTTGATGTCTTCAAACGGCTTGTTTTGTCTAACTGATGGTCCAGATATCAAACCGGTCCAATCAAATCCATTCAAAACAAAGAACTTAAACTTTGCCCCATTTGTGAGGCTGAAATCAGCTATACGTGTGTGTTTACGTTTGTTCAACGACTTAAAAACTTTTCAAATGATAATAATTGTCGTTGATTAATTTGGTTGATATCAGACCGATTATTCCCACACATGGCCTCTTTTAAATGCATTCGTAGTTTTTTTTTTTTTAGGTTTTGGCAGGAAATCTGTCCTATTACACACAATTTTAGAATTACATCTTTTCTATTATGAGGATATCATTCAGAGTAAAGGAAAACAGAAATAAAGAGACCTGCATCATTGAAGAAATAACCAGGACTCAAACTATAACCAGGACTGGTTTTGCAGCCGGTGTGTTGTATATGTAATTTAATATTGGCTTCCCACGATAATGAAAACAAGATAATCGAGATGAATCTATTAGTGTGCCGCACGTTTTGTCAATAGGTTTTGCCATGTGTGGTAACCAAGAGCATATCAGTTACTCAAAAACATATTAATGTTACATGTTAACATACACATGTTAATTTATTTCTATATTTGAATTCATTATTATATATTTTTTGTATATGTTTTTTTTCACACATTTGTTTTTAAGTACTGCTTGTTTTTCAGTGTTCACAATGTTATTGTGTCAAGAGTTTGATAAATGCGGTTTGATAAATGCATGTGATCCAGATGTTGTAAAGTCAATGAGTAATCGTGTTTAATAATCCTGATCTCAACATCAATTAAAATAATTGTGAAAATTATGATTTTTGCCAAACTGGAGCAGTAGTGTGTTTGGGTCGGTTTCATTCATGAGCGCACATGGCCTGGCAGCTCACACTCCTGTCGAAGGCTACTGTAGTTTGTCTGAGACGTACGCGCACATCTGGTCATACAGGTAAAGCAGGTCTGAGGGGAAAAACGTGCCTCACACTTCTCATCCTTCAGGTTGCTGTGATTTATCACACACAGATATATGTTTAGACTTGTTGTGTGTTTGCAGTCACCTGGATAAGACAACCACCTGGCACGACCCCCGACTCTCGCAGCTACAGTCGGCTGCAGCTCAGCATCCCATCTCTGGCGCTCCCATCCACGCCCACTCCCTCAGCAACCCAGCACCCACTTCACAACCACCAAACATCAATCAAGACACAGGTATCACTCTGCTCCCCCCCCCCTCACTCAAACCATGGAGTTTCTCTTTAAAACAAGACCTGCTTTTCACGATTAAAGTCATTTGGCAGCAGGCCTGGTTTTTGTGTGCTGGGTGTGACTTCTTTGGGATTCCTTTTGGTTTCTGCAGTGATCTCTCTGGTGACTTTGGTTGGAATTATAACTGACAGATTAGAGCCTAGACTGACTTGTAATGATAGTCCATGATGGACCAACTTCAGAAGAGAGAGACTCTCCTTTTTCATATTAGTGAGAACATTTGTCTATCCTTTTTTTTTTCTTGATGGTATTGCATACTTTTACTTATTAACTGTACTGTTTTATATCACCCACCCAATGAATTAAGCATTATGCACAAAGGTTAGTACATTTGTATTCAAGTTCTGCAGAATTGGCTATTTTCCTACTAACCGTCACTTCTACTTTTAAAACTCTACAAACAAGAAACTACACAGACATTCAAGGACGTGGGCCAGGTTCTACTTTTAACTCTCGATGCACTCCATCCCCCATTTGCCTTCTCACTGTGTACTTTCACTGCTGTTCAGGTCCACTGCCTGAAGGCTGGGAGCAGGCTGTGTCTGCAGATGGAGAGGTGTTCTACATCGATCACATAAATAAGTCCACCGCATGGGTCGACCCGCGTCTAGGTAGCAAACCATCAAATTTGTGTCTCCTGAAATTGACAATTCTTGTTTGTCAATAAGATTGATTTTTTTCAAAATGTCCACCATCAATGTAAAACCAAGAAAAACCGCACAAGATGTACCTCATATTTATCATAACAGAAAATCTTGACTTTGGTGAAATCATTTACTTTATTGTCAAAACGTTCTTCTCCTATGAATTTTATGTTTCAGCCCAGAAGATGAACCCTGCACTCCTCGGTTTGGCACTGCAGCAAAGGCAGGAAAAGGAGAGGCTCAGATGTAAACAACAAGGCCTGCCTCCACAAATCACAGCACAGGTCAGAGGCGGACTAAAACTGTATTGAATCAATTCACAGTTAACAGAAAATAAATAACTGTTCCATGTAAACAGAGTCCCAGTGTTGTACGTACTGTTTAACAAGAAGGCGTGTGTGTAACAGGAGGCTGGAGGGAGGAACCAGATGCCTGGTGGGATGGACCATGACAGGAACGCACAGACACTTGTCCCATCTCTGGATTTGAGGATCAGAGCCTCAAACCATGAACCCACACTTAATGGGTGAGTTTGTTTCATTTACTGTAGATGTATAGTATCTACTAGATCACTGATACTTTAATCTAAGTAAAAGCAGTTACACATGTCAAAGAATCATCCAGGAAAAGCCTCATTTTAAGTATTTGCATTAAAAGAGTTCAAAGGAGAGCCCAAAGAAATGTAATGTATTTTCATACTTTTTACACTGCCACAGAGTGTAGATGAATGGAATTCCATTTGTGCAGCTTAAAGCATTAAAGTGACATTTAAGAGACTCAACAGTATGGCTCTCCAGGAAAAATCTCCCAGCTGCTCCGAACAGTCGATCTTCCTCCCTGCCAACAGTTTCCATAAAATACATTTCCCTATTGGAAGTAGTTCCTGTGCAAACTATAGCTTAAGGAAGGATGGTTGCATTATGTAACTTCCATCAAGGCTCAATGTTAGTTCAATCATTGTTTTTTATTTAGAAGATTATGATCAGATATAAAGGAATGTTAATATGTGTGTGTTTTTGTGCAGCGCTCACTCTCGCAACGAGAGCACCGACAGTGGTCTAAGCGTCAGCAGCTTACCCCGCACTTCTGACCACATGTTGAGCTCTGTGGATCACATGGATACTGGTAATACCATAAACACACTCGCACATAAACACACACACACACATTTTTTGTGAAATTAGGATGTGTAATCAATTCAGACAGTTTATTGTATAAAAGTGATTACTGAACATAATTTTACTTTAGAACTAAGTCTGAAGCCCTGATTGGACCTCTTTATCAATAATTGGATACTTCTTTCTTCTTTAAAATATTTGTAAATTCAGAGTAAACATGGTGTCAGTCTTTTTTTTTCTTTTAATAGAACAGAGGTTTGTATACCCACAAAACTCCCCAAACCCTGAAATTTTCAGGTTGAGCATGTGTGAAAAGTTATTGGCTTTGTTTTTGTTCCTGACTTCATGCAGACTTTTTTCCTGCAACAAGAAATCAGGTTAAGTTTGAGGGGGAGTTCAGCAGGTGATTCAGTGGATCGGGGCGATGTCTGGCATCTAACAAGATCTTAGTGCTCGTAATGAAGCTGCTCCGCATCATGTTCTTTTCCACTCTTTTACTGATAATGTGAATACATCCTATTACAAGTAGCCTTAGAATAAAGGAAAAGAACTGTCACCATGGTGTCAGACTTTTTGTAAACATTAATTTGTGATATCTGCAGAGTCCTTTTGACGTCTGGTGTCCTAAGACGAGAGTCATTATATATTCTTCTCTGGTTTTAGGCGACTCTGGCGAGACCTCAATGACCTTGCAGGAGTCGATGCCTGTGCTGCCGATGTCCGATGGCGAGGAGCTGATGCCCTGCATACCTGAAGGTCTCAGTTCAGACCTTCTGATGGACATGGAGACCGTTCTCTCCGGGTCACACATGGACAGAGACAGCCTGCTCACCTGGCTATAGACACCACGCAGCCATCACTCATATGGTCTAATATAAAAACCTTCAAAACATGACTGAGAAGAGTGAAGGAGTTTTGGCTTAAAACGTGGTACAGAACAGAAATTCTGAGAGAAAACTCTACTTTTGTATGATGGAAAGCTAACAACACTACTCGCTCCCTGAGGAATGAAAAAAAAAACCTGGCTCTCTCAGACTGTGGTAAGCTGCTGGTATTCTCCTCTTTTTGGCCTGGGTTTACAGAGTGTATGTATGATGATATCTTCCTTCTAGTTATCCACCCCTGATCATTCTCAACACGCTTCTTGTAAAATGTATCGAAGATCATTTTAGAGTGCAGATTTATTTTATTATCCCCACTTGGGTAATACAATTATACAATTTGCAGCAAACGTAGCAAAATGAAAGTCAAGGAAGTTTGCATGAAGCAGTTACAGTTATGCCAAAATGTACATAAACCTGCTCACAAGATACTTTAAAAAAAGTGACAATTTTTATATCCACTACATATCGCAACATGTCGTGCTTTCAGGTGTCAGCAGCCTTTAACTTGTGACTTTACTGCATCCTCACAGCTGTCCAAAATGTCGTTCAAAAGCACCAGGTGAGACACTAAGAGATATAATGAACCTGAATTTACACAACACAGATCACGCTACATTTCAAATCTCTCACTACCACAATGAAACACTAGGAGGAGATAACACACCCTTGTGGTGAGCCAGGAGATTGAGAAACACTAAATGAATCATACTCACTCTCTTACTTAAAGTATTTTTAAAATGCTCACAAGCCAAAAACACAGGATTAAAAACATCGTGTGGTCCTGCTCAGAGCTACAATGTTGTTGTTTTTATCTTTTTGAATGAAGCTTTATCTTTTGGTCACAGAAAAGACCTGAGTCGTAATAAATCAAAACCTTGCGCATTGATAGAAATGATGGCTACAAGCTTGTGCCGCTTTGTAGAGTAGTCTCAACTTTGGGCACTAAAACTACAGTGAAGTGTACTTTTAATGACCTGCCTTTACAGAAAGCAGTACTGGAATATACAGAGAGTGTATCTACAGTAAATGAGCACATGTTCTGTTTCACGCTGCCCAACATAATACAGGACTTCCCCCCCAGGGAAACTCTTACTGTGTCACTTCTGCTCTTACACTTGCCAAACTACATATACATGTTGCCGTAAACATGGCATCGGCTTCTTTTCTCTTGAGTCTCTTTTATTTAATGGAAGTGTATTTTGTTTTTCAGAATATTAGGCCACCTCCAAAAACCTCAAGAAATGCTAACAGATTTTTTTTGTTGGTTCAGGTTTTGACCTTCAGTTCTTGTGTTTGGTTGCATTTTATTGTGAAGATTTTCAGTCTTTTGATCCACTCCCACATTGAATTTAGGCTTTACAGGAGTAGTATTTATTGGAGATTGTGTTTTTTTTTTTTTTATCGGATTGCATTATATTGTACAGCTTTTAAATGAATATGTCCAACCCTTGTTTGGGAATGATTTCATCTAACAGAGGTCAGGGCTTGGTGTTTCCTCCCCCATTGTGTGTATCAGTGATTTTAGCACTCTGTACTTTCTCAGTGCTAACACAGCTGTCAGTGGCTTCTGAAGCATAAATGAAGAAGAATTCAATGAATCAGCCATAACACTTTGACTTTAAACAGTGGAATTCCTTTTCCTTGCTCCCCCATCGATGGCTTGATACATTCCTAATCATTTTCTTTTTCTGTTCCTGACTGACAGACATAACAAACCTCCTACTTCTTAGCTCTGAACACACAATTCATCACAACTTGATCCTTTACCATTTTTGATAGTGTGCGGTACAACTTGAGATTTTTACATGCACTTCAGTTATGCTGCCAAAATCTCTTTTCTTACATTTAGTCCATAAGCAGACTCTTGAAACACACACATCAGACATGTATAAGTAATGTGACTTGTAAATCAGCCTAGATACATTGCATGTAAAACCATATTTCCATCTTCGTTTTCACCTTTAATTTAAACCTATCAATTGATCAAAAGGTTGGATAACGACAATTTCAACTCATCCCCATCTACTTCTTTATATTTATGAACAAAACAAACAGATTTCAAATTCAGTCTACATAATGAAATGTGACTGTTTGAAAAGTCCTGCTACTAAATGTTGCTATTGTATTGGCATGAATGTATCTGATTCCTATTTAAGTATACACAGTTAGTAAAGCATTACAAAGCATCATCCTGTGTACCACTTCCATACAGGTCTGCTATCACTCCATTGAGTTGAAACTTCCCCAGTCTTCGGTACCAGTCAACTTCTCGTCATGAGCTGGTATCTAAGTTAAATTGATGAAAATTTGTGCCTTAAAAAACGTATGGGGTTGCCTCCTCAAAAAAAAAAAGCAACAAACTAATTGCAGATGCTGTGTTCTTGGTATATTTTGCTTTTACTGCAAGTTTTATGTGGCGCTGTAACACAGAAGGCAATTGTTTATCAGGAGAACTCTTAAATTCTCCCCATTTATTTTAACTATATAATAGGTATGTAATCTGTTTTTTTTTAATCTGCTGGGTTGTTTCTGCAGTGTGTGTGTGTGTGTGTGTGTGTGTGTGTGTGTTTATAAAAAAATGTATGAATTTGAGGCTGTTGATTATTTGTGAGAGCTTTTTTTTTTTTTCTAACCAGCGTTCTTTTTGTATAAACATTTTATATAAATGAAGACTTTACTCACAGCATCCGGAATCTGCGGCCAAGTCACTGAATCTTTTCTAAATTAAAGTACGATGTGCCTTTGTGACTTATTGTTCATAACACATAATGCAACACACTACCTAGCCTATTATTTATCTTAGCATGCATGACACCTGCTATGTATGTTGCATATGATAATGTTTATTATCCTATTTACAGAGAGTTTTGAGGCAATCAGTTTTGTACCCTTTTATGCATGTGCTTTATATGAATACATTTCTTCTTACTCTCACTGTAATCATTTTAAAAGAGTTTGTGTTTAATAAACTTTTAAATGCACCACATGGTAAATGGTAGTTTCTTCTAGTAATATGACTACAGAGAGTTGTCCTTGATATGTTTTAAAACTACACCTTAAAGGTGCACTATACGTTTTGGTGGTGAAATTTGAAAGTTGAAAAGTGAAACAATTCTATGCTATATTTTCTGAAGTGAGTACACCAACTTGACTCAAAGAATAAAATGGGTCCCTGGAACACTGTTTGGAGCTAAAAAGCTACCAGGGGAGTTACGTTTTCACCGTTGCGGGCCCACCACAACTTCTCGCGTAGCGTAACAGTGTTGCAGGGACCAAAATTTTCCTCTGAGGACAGTTTGTATATCGCGTTATGAACATATACTCCAGAAACTGTACATTTCTCCAAATTTCAAATTTCTCTACCAAAACTACGTAGTGCACCTTTAATGTTTTAATGGCTTTATTAGTTTCTACTTTATTCATTTACCCTAGTATGACAATTTGTCTTGATGTCTGAGTATTGAGTCTTGAGTATTGAAGGTTGTGGCACCTAGCTTTACTGAGGTAGTACTACTGTCATATATATTAGCTTGCTACAGTATTTCAACATTTCATACTGTAAACTACGAAATTGAAACATAAAAACATCTTTGATCCAAAAGTACGGGTGCCTTAAATGGACATGCATCCATACATTATATTTACTCTGTTTTCCTTTACAGTAATTACAGTAATTTCCGGTTGTTTTTCTTGACATCTTTATCTCATAAACCTAGAGTTGCAAAAGCACACAACGAACATAGAAATAGGCTTAACTTACATCATTAGTGTAGGCAGTGGCAGCATGCCTGGCCTTTCACAGTGACCAGCCTATTGTTTTGTTTTTTCTAGATCAGAAAGTAGTTCCATTGTTACACCCCAGGCTATAAGGCGAACAACTTCCAATAAACTGAACCAATATAACACCTACGAGAGTCAAAACCAAGGGATTTATTATGAATGCCAAACAACTAGATCATATAACAGAAATCAACAAAGGACTAGACTAACAAAACATACCAACACACAAATCTCTGACTGAGATTCTCAAACAGCTCCCGACACACTTCCCTCGCCTGCAGGGTCCGCCGATGAAGGCTTACTGAACAGGGGTAACACCTTTCATTGTTCGGCATGGAACATCAGAGTTCTGTATTACCAACCCCAAAAGCTCAAACATTTTGAACTGAGATTAAAAAAAAGAGCAGTATCATACAGATGTAAGTATAAAAAATGTTAACATAATCTGTCTAATTAATGATATTTTTTTTTTTTTGCTTTAAGTGAGTGAGTTATAAAGGGGAATCAAGCTTTTTCAAACCGAGATAAAGAAAAAAAATAGAGATCTAAAGAAAACAAACTGGAAATTACTCCTCATCATAGGAGAAGGGAGTTGATAAAATATATAGATACATTACGGCTTCCATATAAGATGTTTTTAGATTGGAAATAAAAAACGTGATAATAATTAACAGAAACAGTTTTATTTATTTTTTTATTAACATTAATAACATAGTATGCAAACAGACAAAATGTATAGTCATATATATATATATAAAATAAAAAAAAATAAAGAGTTAGATAAAATAAACAGAAGAAAGGAAGGGGGAAAAATAAATTAGAGAAATAATAGTGATGAAATTAAATAAATAAACAGGAGAAAGGGGGGGTCACCTCTGTTCCACCTCAACGCTGTTATTCATCCTTATCCAGTGGTACCTGTAAGCTCTGTAGCCTACTTTTTTATGATAATTGTGATCACTGTTTTTCCACTCAGTGTTTGTAGGATTATGGGAGAGTCCTGAATGTAGTACATATTTTTGAATCAAAATAATCTGCTAAATAATTCACTTCACATTCAAGAGCTTGAAGATTGTTTCCCATTAGACCTGCTCTTGAACGTATCACTTTAGACAAATTTTCAAAAACGAAATTGGTTTCATAAATTTGAGCCAGTCACCAATATCACATGTTGTGACCTATGAAAAAGTCAAAAGGTCAAAGTTGACACATCAGGTTATAACGCATGGGTAGATGCGAGGAGGAGGAACTTAAGGGAAAATCCCAGAGGCTACACTAACCCATTAAAATGAGAACTATTGACTCACTATGTGCAACCATCAGAGTGATCTACACCAAGATGTATTTGTAAGTATCTTTTCTAGAGACTTTTGACATTATTTTATCTTTAAATATCTTTTGGGCAGTAAGGGAAAGTGTCGGTCAATATGCTGCTGCGACTACAAGGCTGAGGCTCTAATACCTAGTTGATGATTATATCCAATAAGTGTTGACCTTACTTGTATATATGCTATGTTTCATTGAAGATGTGTCTAAACTGTAGTATAGACATTTGAAAGGATGTTTTAGCACGTTTACGAATCGAAAATACGATGTGATAACTCATGAAGATCTCCACACAGTCTAAAGAGCTTTTGGAAACCAATGTGTCTAGGTAAATAAATAAAAAAAGATAGTGAAATTGATCTTACTAAAAGTTTCAGGCATTAAAAAAAAGGAGTTCAGCTGATCAAAAATTGGGCGTCAGGACGATTGTGACAGATAAAGATATTGTTTTTGCAATAATTGAATAGCATTATTTCACGGTGGATACACTGGCAAAACAATTTTCTGTAATAGACTGTAAATATGCTGGTTGTTTTCATTATGTAGTCTATGAATAATAGGCTGTATAGCTACCATAACAGTATCTTGACGTTCTAACTTTCGTTTCTCGTACATCCGGGGAATCAGCCAGAGGTGGCGGTGACGTCAGTGATCTTTCAGGGACTTTCCGCAATCCGCACAGCCTGCACAGACGGTGAGTGTGTGTGTGTCTTTCGTGTAACACGGAAAATAAATAGTACCCTCGCTGCTCGACGTACTGTCTCGTACGTTTGCGTCACAAAAAGCTGATGTACGTTGTATTTTGAGTTTTTCTTTGTTGGTCACCGCGGGGGATTAAAGGAGCACTGTTAAAAGAGGCAAGCGTCAGCGTAACCTAGCATTAGCATGCTCGTGTGGTCAAATGGGCGTTTGCTGTCGTATTAATGATTAATGTCATGTCATTTGTCAGCTGCGTGTTACCTGTTTTAATAATGAGTTTTAGTGAAAGCAACTTTTAAGCTACCGAAACAAAGCTTGCGCTAAACCATTGTTATGGTGTAAAGAGTGACCGTGTTACCTGGTGACTCTCCGAAATACGTCTGTGGATGACGTAGTTACAGCTGTCGAAAGAGTAAGCCTCCCAAAGTTTAGTTTATTTCTGACAATGTCCAAATATACTCCTCAGATAATGAAAAAAGTCATTTGCGAAGATCTTTCCGTTTTCAACATCTGATGACACAGCGACAACTACAGTCGCCAGTTTAAAGGGTCGCCAATAAAGCGGCAACACCTGTTCCCGGAAGTGACTGAATTAAACCTGTGCGTTCCACCTCTGTGGAAAGTACCGACCTTCACGGAAATATGTGACAGTCATTGATTACAAAATATTTGCTTGATGTAACTTTGAATATGTTCTTTTGTTAAAGGGACACTCCCCTGCCTGTTTGTCAACCTGTTTTACCACTCAGTCATGAAGATCTCCCTTGAGATCTTTGTGAAGAATTAACCCTGTTGTTTCCTAGTGTGAGACTCATTATTTATTATAGAAAGTGTAAATTACAAACAGACCTTAAGTTAGGAAGATTGGACTTTACCAGGCACAGAGAGTCAAAGAACAAAATTGATGCAATAGGTGTCATGGGAAATTAAGGATTCAATTATTCTCTCCCGATTTATCCAGATTATTTGTTATTATATTCGGATATTTGAAAGAAACACTCTTTATTTCCAGACTCTTGATTAAGACAATTTGCTTCCTTTGTTTTGTCAATTAAATTCAGTATTTATTGCTTATTGTCTGATGGACGCAGTGATGGTAACGACAACAGGATTCAAGTATTTCCCCGATATAAAATGTCTTAAATGAACAAAGTTCCAAAATAAAATCATAATATAATTTGCAATACTAAGAAGTTGAATAGATATTTCTAAGGAAGTTGCATCTTCCTTCAATTTTTAACCGAGTATTCTGATGAATTTTTTTGGCACTTTGTTGAACTATATCAGATTAAACTAAAGTCATTACTAAATTACGCAGATAAGAACATTGCTGTTTGTATATTTCAATCATTTTAAACTTTCTGTAGCCTTTATTGGAATGAAGTGGATCCACAATTAAATGTTGTTTGTTTGCTTGTTTTCTCTTTTTCTCTACAGATCCTGCTATTTGTAATCTAAAGAGTTGTCCTTACTAAAGATCACAAAAAATCATTCTTATTGGCTTTTAAGGATTCAAATATGGAGGCCTAAAACACCTAGAAAAGAGATGTCCACAATGGGGGGAGGGGTTTGAGATTGTATGTCCCTTGGTCTGTGTCCATGCTTGTGTAGGTGTTTGAAACATTTCTTTAATTTATAATGTTTGTACACATTTTCTCTGGCCTTATTTTTGAGTTAGAGTTATTAGATGTATTTGACATGTGTTTTAATAATCAGTTGTGTACAGATCCTGGGTGATTTTATCATATTATTTTAGTATTCTTTTTAATAACATATTTGAAATAAGTCCTTACTTGCTACACAGGAGGTGTCTTGTTTCAAATGCATGGGACTGTAATCCAGAAAGAATCTGTCAGAGGTGGAACTCAACGTGGTGATGGGATGTTGAAGGAAAATGGATTACTTAACCTGAGTCACCTTGTGTTTGGATCCAGTCCACCAGTACTGGCAGTTTCATTTCTTCTCCACTCTTTAAGTTTTGCTTTTAGCCAGGTGTCACATTCTTCGCCCCCACCTTCTCTGCCCCGCATCTACTTTACTGTTCTCCATCTCAGTGTGAGTGTATCTGTGTGAAGATCAGACCACGGGTTTTCTCAAACCTCTCTCCCTTTGAAGGACATCTCTTTTTCTTTATATCGCTCTACATTAATACAAAAATGGAAACTCTAGTTCAACTCAAAAATAACCCTTTTTTGAAGGGGCTTTGTCGCAACAGCGCCCCGCCAGACCTGCAGTATGATAACTCCTCAGGTACAAATTCCATTTTTCTAAATTAACCATGTTGATGCTCATTATTCATTTGCATTTATTTTTATTTCTAGCATTCTGATGTTGAAATATAAAATAAATCTGTCAATGTGATGCTTTTTTAAACCTCAGAGCTCTTCCGCATCTCTACCTATGCTCGTTTCCCGGCTTCGGGGGTCACAGAGCGAAGTCTGGCGAGGGCAGGTTGGTTCTACACCGGCGTGGGCGACCGTGTTCAGTGTTTCAGGTGTAACGTGACTGCAGAGGGCTGGCAGGCTGGAGACTGTCCTACAGAGAAACACAGACAGCTCTCTCCTTCCTGCTCCTTCATCCAGAGCCTCCCGTCAACAGCCAACCTGCTCTCCTCCTCCCACTCTGCCTTCTCGCCACTCCGTATTGCCCCTGCGATACCGGTAAGATCAATGGTGGGTTTCTTCACCTTACAGAGAGAAGTTGGGCCTATATCTTTAATCGCAGCTTGATAGAAATACTCATTAATCATGAAATGGTTTTGTTTTTTTAAAATCTGCTTTAATTCTTAACATTTTGCTTCCTTTTCCTTTAGATTTCTGCTCCAGGTCCGGTCGCTCCTAACCCTACAGCAGGCCCAGGTGAAGAGCCAGTTGGCTACTTAAACATGGGCTTATCTGCTCCACCACCCTCCAGCCCACTTACCTCTCGCGGTGTAGAGGACATGTCCCACCAGAGACCGACGTGCCACAACCCCAGTATGCGCAGAGAGCAGGACCGCCTGGACTCCTTTCATCCCTGGACGCTCTCCATCATCACTCCTGCCGAGCTCGCAAAGGCTGGCTTCTACTACCTGGGCCAAGGGGACCGAGTGGCCTGCTTCAGCTGTGGAGGACAGGTGTGTATCCCCACAGGGAGCATAAGAGTGTTCACTTTTGTGTGATTTAATTATCCCCAGGATATTGAATGAGATTGATTGTTTCTTCTTCATTTGATTGTTTTTGTAGTCCTTATTGGATGGCTGTTTTGTATCACTGTATTACTGAACCTTTTTACTTATAATTTCCCCCAATTTGACTTATTCTACTCAAAATACATTTTTACATGATTTGACAAGAATTCACAATAATTTATTGAACAATTGATTGATTTGTTTGTCTTTGTATACAGTTGAGTGACTGGGAGCCAGGTGACAGAGCCGTGTCTGAACACCAGAGGCATTATCCAAACTGTCGATTTGTGCGTGGGGACAGAGCTGACAACGTGTCGCTGGCCGCAGCTGCAGCAGCTTTGTCCGGAGGAGTGAGTTCTCAACTCTCCACAGGAGCTCCGACCCTCAGCAATGTCTCCAACCCGGCCATGCAGCAGAGCGAAGAGAGGCTGCTCACCTTTGTCAACTGGCCGTCTCGAATCCCCGTCCGACCCGACCAGCTGTCTAAAGCTGGCTTCTACTATGTAGGTATGTGGATCATCAAAGACACTCAGGTATTCTCAGCAGGAACAAGAGGGGGAACACTGGAGAGACTATCATCAGGAGTTAATCAAAAGAACTCCACATGAAAGCTAATGATGCTTCATAACTGTGTTGTGTTGTGTCCAACATGTCCCTCTGAATGACCAAAAGTCATTTTGATATTTAAATATTTCATGTTAAATATGAATCTTCGAATGCTGTTGTTTTCATTTGTTTGTGCAGCCAAATTATTCTGTGCTCACTTCCTGCTTTTTTTAAATTTGCAAATCACATCTATGATATATTTATTTATTTATACTTATTTTATATATGTATTCAACACAATAACCAATGGTTTTGCATATCAGTACCTAAATGCTTGTCAGTATGCTCTTGAGTATTTGTAGTTTTTGTTCTCAGCCACAAGAACAAATCCCAGATAAGTAAAAGTGACCGTCAGAATCTTCCTGAAAACGACTTTAGTGGATTTTAAGGAAAACACATTTATTTTCTTAAAAACAGTTGGTGAATGAGGGCCAGTGACTCTGGTGCATCAGTTCAGATGTTTTTCTTTTCGAAGCAAATACATGTTAAGATAATGGTCTAATTCATGAAACTTTTTATAAAACACGATTGATCCTTAAAATGTTCACCTCATATCTGTCATTTTACCATATTTTAAAAGAATTAACTAATTGTACAGATTGGAGCTGTACAACAGTTCAGATACGAGTTATTACTTAAATGAAACTAGAGGTTCTTTCCCCACCTGTTTTGGGGATGTCCACTGCAGACTGGCATTTATCAACACTAAAGAAGTTTTGTTTTTTAAATTAAAGTTGGAAAGTTCTGAACAAAATCTCAGAAGGGACGTACGGTTATACGGATGATGTCTCATGATCACATGTCAGTGATAAATTTAGCTTGAAAACGTAATTTATTTTTCTGCTCAAGGTATGAAAAAAAAGGGGAAATGAGAGATAAAAATATAGTCATATGTTTCCACCAGTTATCTTCATCAGAAAATTATCTGTTATTTTTCTTCCCCTGAAATCCCCAAACCTTTTCTCACACTGAAACCTCTGTTTTTCTTCAAGGTCGGAACGATGACGTCAAGTGTTTCTGCTGCGATGGAGGCCTGCGGTGCTGGGAGTCTGGAGACGATCCATGGGTAGAACATGCTAAATGGTTTCCTCGGTAAATTAATATTTTTTAATATACATTTGATTGAATAATGTGTTTGTCTATGTAGGCGTTTAAAGGATGGTTAATAAAATGTTAACCCTTCTTTTCTTTCTTTTTTTAAACCTGTGGTTAATTGAAGGTGTGAGTATTTACTCCAAGAAAAGGGACAAGAGTTTGTTCACCAGATCCAGGCTCGCTTCCCTCGGCTGTTTGAGCAGGTCAGATAAAGATATAAAACTGTTTATGCCTTTGTTCAAACGTTTGGTGTTGAATAAGAAATGTAATACTTCTTATTTTTCCACTAAAGCTTCTATCAAATGGGGACAGCAGCTCCAGAGAGTTTGTGGATCCACCTGGTGAGTTTCAAACAATGTGAAATCAGTTTAGGCCCGTGTGACTCAGAATCCAATAAATGAATAAATGGCCTGACCATTTATGTGTGCAGTTAGATCTGACAACCATTTGTCTCCTTTCTCCTCCCAGCAGTGGTTCACCTGGGACCAGGAGAGGAGCGGTCAGAGGACGCCGTCATGATGAACACTCCGGTGATTAAGTCGGCTTTAGAGATGGGCTTTGACCGAAGTCTGGTCAAGCAAACAGTCCAGAGCAAAATCCTGACCAGTGGAGAGAACTACAGAACAGTACAGGAGCTGGTCTGTGACCTGCTGAGTGCCGAGGACCAGAAGAGAGAAGAGGAGCGAGAGATGTTGGCGGAGGCCATGGCATCAGGTACAGGACTAAGAAAAAAGATGGAAAGCTCCGAGATGTAGTAGTTGTGAAAATGCACACTTAAATGTTTAAAACCCAAAATGTTAATATTCTTTAATTTTCAGAAACCTACTGTTGTTTTATTTCTGCTTCTTCTATTCAGTGTCAGTATAATTTAATTTAATTTTACCTGTTTTTTATTTTATTGTATTTAATATTGCCCGTTTAAATGGAGCCCCCCCCCCCAAAGAGTGCCTCATTTCTATAATTGGAGTTACAATGAATATCTTTAATTTTGAAACACATGATCTCAGTAAGAGCTAATTATGTTTGAGCATAATGAAAAATCAATCACTTTCTTTGTTTCAGATGGCTTCACGTTCTTGAAGAGACACCAGGCGGCATTGATCCAGCGTCTGAAGAGTGTCGAGCCGGTGTTGGAGCATTTACGAGAGCAGAATGTTTTATGTAGGTCTTCTTTCGTTTATTTGCTTTTTGTGTTTCGGAGGAAGATTTGATCTATTATTTAATTTCTCTTGAAGAATGCTTGTTAAATAATATTTTTTATTGTTCAGTGGTTGTTTATATAATATTGCCCAGAAGGAGGCGCTACAGACTGACAAAGTTTATGTTGGTCTTAAATGCAGTCTAGATTATTTTTCAAAGGTGAAGGCGTTGGTAAACATGAGTTTAAGGTGTTTTCACGATAGCTTCGACGAGACATGTTTGCAATATTCCATCAGAAAGTATAGCAGAGGGGCGCTGGCTTACCTCAGATGATGAAGCTGGTGCTTCATGTGCAGAGGCTGTAGACCTCAGAGAGATGGTCGTGAGATCAACTCCTGGTCACTATTTGATGCATGTCATCCTTCACTCTGTCCTCGCATTTCCTTTCTATCTCAGGCTGTCCTGTCAAATAGAGGCAAACAGCTGTAAATATAATCTAAAGTTAAAAAAAAGGGGGAGCAGAGTTTTTTTTGTTTATTATAAATTGGACGCATATCACAATGCATATTCTGAAGTTAACTTTTAAATTCAATGAAATCCTCTCTGTGGACCTTACATTAAAAACTGAGGAGACTCTGGGTGGTGAATAATTTTTCTTCTTCTAACCTGCAGCTCCAGAGGAGTACAGCGGCCTTAAGGCTCAGACGTCGGCCCAGCAGCAGAACGGCAGGCTGATAGAGCTCGTCCTCACCAAGGGAAACGCTGCCGCTGAGGTCTTCCGCAACTGGATCCAGAAAAACGACGTCCACCTGCTCAGAGATCTCATGGGTACATCTTTCAATCTAACACCACAGATATACTGTTTAAACATACAAAAAAATATCTTTGTCTGCTCTGCTACTAATTGTTCCATGTTAAGGCAGCCTGGATTGAAAACTGAATAATTATTGAAACAAAATGTTTTTATTGCATTTTCAGCCCAATCAAATGAAGCTGCGTCACCAAGCCAAGATCTTTCAGGTATTTAGACACAGCTGAGCCACACACAGCTTACTATACTACCACCATGATTGGTTGTTTGATTTTAAGATGGATAAATTGTTATCTTTTGTATATGCAGATCTCCCAATGGAGGAGCAGCTGCGGCGCCTGCAGGAGGAGCGTACCTGCAAGGTGTGCATGGACAAAGAAGTAAACATCGTCTTCATTCCGTGTGGACATCTGGTAGTTTGCAAAGAGTGTGCACCATCACTTAGAAAGTGCCCGATCTGCAGAGGCCTGGTTAAAGGGACGGTCCGCACCTTCCTCTCATGAAGAGAAATCATCTTCAGACTCCTTTTGTGTGTCACAATGAATGTAAGCAATATGATTAAAAAAGAAAAATCTACTAGAAAGAGCAGGAAGGTCATTTGTTTCCTTTCTGCCAGTTGAGATGTTGCAAAGTTTCTACATGGTTGTCTTAAATAAATAAAGCTCACTCCTAACCTTAAATGCAGAGGTGTCTAGTAACGAAGTACAAATACTTCATTACCTTACTTAAGTAGAAATTTTGGGTATCTATACTTCACTGGAGTAATTATTTTTCAGCTGACTTTTTACTTCTACTCCTTACATTTTCACGCTATTATCTGTACTTTCTACTCCTTACATTTTAAAAATAGCCTCGTTACTCCTATTTCATTCAGGCTTGTCATCGTTCAACAAAACACAAAACCTATCCAGATAAATCACGTTATCCGGATAGAGTGAATTTGATTGTGGTTGGATGAGAAGTATAAACCTATAGGCTACCATTCCGACACCCTATTGGTTTATTACGAGATCCATCGCACCTGCACATTTTTCAACATTAACATTTTAATAGAACATTATAGTCATTATGGCCTTAAGAAAAATGTTTTTTTGGGGAGGTGGGGTAGTGCACTATAGGCCCCTGTGGCGAGGCCCAAGTTTTTGTCCGTAATGGCATTTTTTCCCCTACATTAATTTTACTTGTATACTCTTAAGTAGTATTTTAACCAGTACTTTTACTTGAGTGAAAAGCTTGAGTTGATACTTCAACTTCTAAAGAAGTCTTTTTAAACCCTAGTAGCTATACTTCTACCCGAGTAATGAATATTAACACTTTGGACACCTCTTAAATGATGATGTAAATTGCTTTTATAATAATACTTATTCAATCTGATTTTTAATCACATGGCTTTTGCTATTAGGGTGACATTATTTGATATGCTATATAAATTAGTAACTTCTCTGGTTTTGTGGTTATAACAAATGAAATTTCACAGAATGTTATGCTTTACACAGTAATTCTAAAACATATTTCAATGATTCTGTTAAATGTAATGGTGATTCATGTAAAGTCTATAAAGGCAGCACTACAATAAATAAAGTTTCATGAAGATTAAAATCTTTTGTCAGGTTTCAGTGACAGCTTTGAGCCTTTGACTGAACTTTCTAAGCTGCAACTCCACAAAGCTACACCCCGGTTTATTATAACATGCATATTCTGGTTCGTGTTTGACAGAACATGGAACAGGCTCATTAAAAAAGATAAGATGTAAATGTATTATTTCTGGTCAAGTTTTTAGTATTTGAAGGTTATATCCAGCCTTAAACATAAATGTAAGCATTTTTCAGAATTTGACAGTTTTGTTTATGAATAAGATATTTGCACTTATACAAGTATCAGACCCCCCAATTCAATCCTAATAAAGGCTGCAGTTGTAGAAGCATGAATACCCTCTAATTTTGTTTTAATGTGTAAGACAAGTCACAAAAAAGCACAATAAATCATTCAAGTTTTTACAAATATTTATTTTTCCACAAGTGTCTTCATCCACAGTTTAGATGATGCCAATCTGCAGAGAATAAGAGCATGAATTACAAAACGTTCATTGAACAGAGTGAATACACCTGTAACTGTATTTTCTGGCATCAGTGGTTCCTTTGAATGCATCACAAATATTCAGACATGATTAAGTTTACATCACGTGCACAGAATTCTGAAAGATAATATAACTACTTGTTCTAGCTTCAAAATAAAACACTTCTTCTCACCTTGTTTGCAACATCCAACGCATCGTAATCTGGTGCAAGACGAACGTACGCCTTCTTCTCACCGTCAGGCCTGAGCAGAATAAAACACCAAGATTAAAAAATTAGCCAAATGAGACCAGTAAAAACACTCACATTTAGGTCTATGTGTAACATGGGAGACAAACTGTTTGGACATATGAAGACCACAATTAAAGCAAACTCAATCTTCAGTCTCAAATTTTTCTGTTTTAAAATGTCATAACATTTGAAGATTGTTCGAGTTGGAATTTAAAACTAATAATGAGATTACAGAGAGCCTGTACGATGGATATTTCTACTCTGAGTTGCAAAAACACAACTTGAAGCCGAGGCTGAGCCTAGGCTTAAATACAAGTTAGGATTTCTACCTGATGAGTGTGTTGACTTTGGCGACGTCGATATCATACAGCTTCTTGACAGCGTGCTTGATCTGGTGCTTGTTTGCCTTGACATCCACGATGAATACGAGTGTGTTGTTGTCCTCAATCTTCTTCATTGCAGACTCTGTTGTCAAGGGGAACTTGATGATCGCATAATGATCCAACCTGCAGAAAAAAAATGCATATCAGACGCGTTAACATCTTTCAAAGTAAACATAATTCATTTCCCACTAACATGAAAAAGCATTGTCTGGGTGCATCAGTAGTAAAAAAAGGTGGAATCATGATTTTCTTTCATACTTTGATCGCTTAAACCATCATGTGCACCAGTGTTTAGTCCCTGCATGTTTGAGGCTGCACGCAGACATCAACTCACTTGTTCCTGCGAGGAGCACTCTTGCGAGGATACTTGGGCTGTCTGCGGAGACGGAGGGTTTTAGGGCGACGGAAGGTGGGAGAAGTCCTGACTTTCTTCTTCCTCTGGCTGTGTACGCCCTTCAGCACAGCCTTCTTGGCCTTCAGAGCCTTTGACTTGGCCTCAGTCTTGGCCGGAACAGCTTTAAAAAAAAAAAGAAAAAAAAAAGGTAAAGACCAATTGTGAAACTTCACCAAACTTAAGGGAATCTTAACAGTACACAGTAATACCTCTGTTTATATTGTATTTAAGTTGCAAATTACAGTTCTGGCCACTGAAACTTGTCCTGTAATTGTATAATTGCTGCATGTATTATCAGCAAATGCCATTATATCTTTGACAATTACGTAATCTGTATGAAGCTACAGTTATCTGTAAACATTGTAGTTTTCACTGAAGCTCATTTATTGTTATTAATCATTTGTTTTTGAGGGTCTTTTGCGTTACCTTACATGTTGCCACAAAGTTAATTCACAGTTTTACATTAACCTTATGGTTTGGCATGTTACTAACACATGTTAAGAGGAAACATTTTAAATGTTGGTTTTAGAAAAAGGCCTATTTAGACCAACACTAAGAGCTTAAATAAACACTATAGGACACAACTTAACTCATCTGAGAAACAGAAGCAGCACAGGGGCGACAAACAGCTACTAAAGCTTTTAAAAGGAGTTAGAGTTTCTCCTTAATTAGTTATAATTTAGTTATTAACTAGCTTTCTTAATTAAAGTTCCTGACAGTGTTTCTTCACGTGTAGCTAGCTAATGAATCGCCGCTGAGATTCAGGGACTTAAATGTTGAAGATTTCCACAGGAACAGCTATTCCACCAACGTATAACATGTTACTGTGACCTAATTCAGTTACTTAGATAATACATCTAGTTAAAACATTGTCAGAATGGAAGATTAAGAGCTTTTAGACAGACAGCGCTGTGTGTCGTCAACGCCAACATGCTACTTTTAGCTTAGCATCACGTTCTGGTGACATGCCGGAGACTTTCTGCGTTTACTGCAAATTAATACAATTAACCCTGAGCTTATTCAAACAATTGCCAATTCGTGTTTACATTTCGGAATCACATATAGAAGCTTGGAGCCGATACGACATTATAAAATAGGAATAATCCAATAAAATTGATCAGGTTGACAAACCTTCCTTCTTCACCTTCGGTGCCATGTTGAGAAAGGAAGGCTAAATGGGGTTTCCTGAAGTATAATGCATGGGCGAGATCTCCAAGCGAATATATCGCGATGGTTGGGGCAGTTGAATAACCCACGCTGTGGTTACATTCTTGTCTCAGTATTTGTCTCAATTACAGATCAATTATATATTTAAAAAGTTTCCATTATAACATTTTTATTCGTAGACCAACCACATTAAAAAAGACAATAGCCTACTTTTGTTGATGGGCCGATCTTTTCTTTAAAGGATTAATAATTTTGGAATAAGATAAAATAAGATATTTATCCCACAATGGGGAAATTTACAATAAGCTTTTAACATTTTAAGTATGCATTAAGTATGCCAGTCTTGTTAGAACAAGATAGATGTGAAAGTTACAAATGATTTGTCAAATTTTAAACATTCATTTTCATGTTGCAATTTTCCCCCTCTTCAGCATGTTTTACAGTTTGGACGGGAAAAATGGCTGAAATGAACATTAATTGGTTTTAACTGAGTTCTGCTTTTGTCAATATGTTGTCAACTTCGCTATGCCCTCTGTGGCCTGAACCAACAAACTAGAATTTAAATTCACCGGTTTGCTTTAAAAAAATTATCAGTAGATAGAAAGATTTAGTTTACAGCCTTTAACAACTTCTAAAGTACGCAATCACTGCCAATTTTTATTGAACTAAGTATTAGCCTTCTCCAATCAGGTGTGGTGGGGTTAAATATGGTTTACTATTGGTTTTATTGTAACTTTTGGGTGAAACAGTTTTTATATAACTTGCCTCACAAACTAACAATTAAAATTCACAACCTGATCTTGCAGCTTGCAAGTTCAACATAATTATGTATCACTAACTTATTAAAGCCTTATATATATAATATATATATATATATATATATATTTTTTTTTTAAGTCATCATAAGTTCTGCCAGAGAACTTGCAGGATAGCCAATGTAACAAAAACTGAAAAAGCACAAATGCATATAAAACTGTTTATTTTATGCTCACATAATACAAATTAGCTTCAAACCAGACTGCAAAACATACATGTGGAAATAAGAGAATCATCTCTTCATCGTCTATCTTCAAAGCTCTCTTCTTCTCCCACTCCCATTTTCTTCTTGTGGTTCACGTCTTGTTCCTTTTCCTGCAGGAAAGATTTAAAGATCTGAATCAGTTCATTTATTTTTGAAAAGCATCTTCAACCTGTGCTTCATCTCCAAGTGTATTCCTTTCCTTTGAAATCCATTAATTAGTGTATAAACAGGACACAACAGTCACATTTTTACTCTTCAGTCTTTATATATGGTAGTAATACATGTTAACAGCAGAAAAAAGAGAAAGGTCCGCACACTGTTCAGCTCCAAAAGTACAATTTTATTTCAACAGGGCAACGTTTCAATCGACAGGATCTTCCTCAGGCCTGAGGTTTTTTGTTGTTGTTGCCAAAAGTGGTTCACCTTCATAGATGGTTTTTTAAAAGAAGGCAGTTTTATACTTCAGAGAATTAACAAAGAAAGGGCATTACTTGAATCATTGATCACAACACTGACAAAAGGAGTAAAAGAGGGGGCAAAGATAGAAGAATATTCAACTGTTAACCACCTGATAACATATTCTACAAGTAAAACCCACAGAAACCTGACTAAACTCTAAAAATATATTCTGTAGAAAAAAAAAAGATTTACATGTATATTTTACACCCGTTTCTTATAATATCATATTACCAGGTTTAAGATTTCCTGTTATGGCACAAGCTGATCTATCTGGAGAAGTATTATTTAATACACATCCTTCTTACTTTTTTAACTTTGTTCCAGATAATTTAGATTCTTTTGTCTGAGTTTCCGTCTTGTGTTTTCCTGTTCCTGCTTCGTTCTGTGTTTTATTTCTTTTCTTTAGCTTCTGTCCTTTGGTCTTCTTCTCCTGTTTTGGCTGCTGCACCGCTGCTTGAGATCCACTCTTCCCTCCTGCCTGCTTCTCTCTTTTCTGTCCTCTATTTGCTGCATTGCCTTTTTTCTTCATTAGGAAGCGAGGAGTTGTGCATATGGTGCTTCTCTTGGGTGGCTTCTTTTCAAGTCTCCGCTTCACTTTGCTAAACACAGACATAAGAGAATGGTTATAACGGATCGATGTAGAAAGATATTACAGAACAAAAAGAGTCTGTTAAAATTGAAATTCATTATCATGGTCTTCTCCTTTACCTGTGTATCTTCTTAAAGCCAATCATGTAGTCGGGGACAGGACAGCCGGCTTGTTTGATGACATTAGCGATGCTGTAAAAAAAGAGTTGTATTCAGAAAAAGTGTTCATTGTAAAACGTGTTGTGGGAAAAAGTGAATAGTCTTATGTCTTGCTTGAAATACACGATGCATGAAAGGAGAACTGTTAACCAAGACGTTCAACCTGATGTTTTTTTTTTTTTTACTGTAGCATCCTCACTGCCCTTCAGACACATAGTATAAGCTGATCTAGATATAGGGTTTAAAATATTGCAGGGAATTCTGGCTAAACTCTGTTTTTAACAAAAAGTGCCCAAACTACCTTTTTTGCGTTATCCTGTGAATCAACACTGGTGGGGTTTGGTGTTTCAAAGCACGTCAAACCACACAGAAATAGTATCTGTACTGTATTTTCTTTAAATGTAGAAACAGGCAAAGCAGTGGATCTGAGGCAGGCCTCAAGTCTCCAGGCAAACAGCTACAATGTGTCCACATGTCAGTCAACTCAACCACACACCGTATAATTTAAATTTACACATTAGGCCTAATTTAATAAAAATGGATGAGTTATAAAAAAAAAATGCATAATCTTTGAAAAAAGAAATGACCAAATCTTTTTTTGTACCAGGCTGTAAACATGTTTATTTCTGCTGTTAAAGTCAGCATGTTGGCATGGGTGCTACTCAAGCTGCCTGGCCTTTTTGGAGCCAGCTTCAAGTGGACTTGGACAAACTGCACTTTTTTTTTTTTTTGCACTTCCACATTGGCTTCATTTTTCCAACACCAGAAGTTGCCCCTTGTAGCACGAAAGACACAAAAGCGTACCTGCGCAGCAGTGGCTTGTCATTTTCTGTGAAGAAGGTGATGGCCTTCCCCAGGTGTCCAGCTCTCCCAGTCCTACCTGAAGTACACACACAGGAACAGGAGAGTATCTGTTATTATTTGGCATCTTATTAGACTTCACACCTTCTCTAAAATATCAAAACATTTGATTCACAATGATATTAAAAAAACAAACAACATAAAATATATTTACAGTTGTTGAACTTTGAACAGTCAGTAAATGGGCGGTTTATAAAATACTTACCAATTCGGTGGATGTACTCCACGGCGCTGGTTGGGAAGTCATAGTTCAGCACGAGGTTCACCCCTTTGAAGTCGATTCCTCTGGCGAGCAGAGCCGTACAGATCAGCACCCAAATCTTACCAGAGCGGAAACTGTTCACCACGTTGTCCCTCTAACACCAGAAAAGGCGCAGAAGGAAAGAATGATTACGTGTGCACTTCAGTGACACAGAGACAATACAGTGTGTGTGATATTGTGTGTACCTGCTGCTGTGTGCGGTCTGCATGGATTACATCCACATTGATGCCTTCGTACACCAGTTCATGGAAGAGCTCTCGCGCTCGGTCTATAGACTGAACAAACACCAGCATGGGAGGCAGGAAACCCTGAAAACAGCAGACAAGACAAAGAGAGCTTGTATCTATTTGTTTCTGCACTAAAACTTGGGAGCAATTTTTTACCGTGGACTGCTTTATAACTGTCACAGCATTTCATGTAGAAACTCTGAGTGTCCTTACCTTTTTGATGATGTCCCTCATGGCCACAAGTTTGCCGCTCTCCGTCCCAACAAACAGCAGCTCTTGTTCAACCGACTCAACCGCCGTATTTCTATCGAGTAAAACACATTTGAATATGAGAAAAATGAAATCCCCAAAGTACAGAGGTCTGCCGTGTTACTTGTTGTTACTTCTTACCTGTGTCCAATGTTGACAGACACCAGGTTGTCCAGGTTCAAACGGCACCACTGCTCCACATCAGCGGTGCAGGTGGCGCTGAAGAAAGCCCTGCGTACCTTTGGACCAGAACAGGCCAGAAAAACCGAGGCGAGCTGCTCCCTGAAGCCCGTTTTACCGCCCTCAAACAGCTTATCAGACTCATCGACAACCAGCCACTCCACACTGAGCAACAACAAAGTTCAGTCGGTACTGTGTGCTTTTACTCGACAGCTGATTTTATCTTCATTAATATCCAAACATACTCTCTCAACATACTAATGCTATACAGTGATCCATATATATTATTACACACTTACTTTTTGAGATTCATTGACAGTATTTTTTAATGCTCCTTTTCTATTCTTGTCATTAGATATTGTTCATTTATATATTCATATTTGTTTAAATTCACTTTCTTTATTGCTTTCACTAAAGCCTGCCACAGGTTCATCAGTGTTTAATCTCATTTCACTTGAAGCAGTTCTCTCCTACCTGCTGAGGTCCAGAGCTGGAGGATCCTGTTGGAGAAGGAAGACGAGCCTGTTTGGAGTGCTGACCAGTATATCTGCGCAGAAAAACAAATGTAATCAGTGAGGTTAATTCTAATCTTATGTTTCAATTCACAATTCAGTTAAAAAAACAAAAAAAAAAAACATCTTCTATTTCTTACCATATTTTTTGTTCGACTGTGGTCCGTACTTCTTAGCCGCCAGAGAGGCTTTGTCCATGATGTGAACTCTGAATCCGACGCCCTCTGACAGGCGGAGCAGCTCTCTGTAAGTCTAAACACAAAACAAACACATATATGATATATGACACATATGATCAGACTCAAAATGTCAATGAAGTAACATTTCAAACATCCCACCCCTAAACTTCTGCAAGTATCTAACCTTTTTTTTGTTTGTTTGTAAGGACATAAGTGTAAGAAAAATAAGAAAAAAGTGTGTGTTTGGTACCTGGTTGGCGAGCTCCCTGGTCGGGGAGATGATGACAGCTCTGAAGCCCAGGTTTGCCGGCTGCTGCAAGTGGGCGAGCAGTGGGAGGCAGAAGGCTAAAGTCTTTCCTGATCCTGTGGGAGCGCAGGCCAGAAGCTCCCGACCCTGAGCGAAAAAAAAAAAAAAAAAAAAATCATTAGGGAAAAACCTCCAAACACCGGCTGCACATAACGCGTGCACACTGATTCTAAACCTCCCGATTGTTGGTGCGTCTGCACTCACATGCATCATGAGCGGTATCGCCTGCATCTGTACGGGAGTCGGCGAGTCGAGCCCGGCCTCTCTGAGGTTCTGAATGACCCGCGAATTGAGACGGTACTCTGACTGCAGCTCCTCAAACGTGCACACCGGGTCAGGCACGTCGCAGCCGTGCACATTTATGCGGTGCTGAGAGCGAATACGATTCACCTAAAATCAAACGAAAGGGGAGAAAGTCAGTGCGTAGACAAAGAAGGGCCCTTACAACATAAATATAATTTACACGTTTGTCTGAAATATTTTTTTTTCAATAGGGACCTTTTCCTGATGAAGGTGCTTCAACCTCTTCAGTGAGGATTTTTCCTTCCCGTCGCTCGGCAGGTTTTTGGTGTTTCTGTCCAGTGAGGAGGTCCAAGTGATGTCATTTCCTTCTGTGTTTTTTAGTGGTGCATCACCAGCTTTAGAGAGACAAAATAACAGTGAGGCTTTGACATGGACCGCTGCATTTATTTCGAGTACGGCAGCATCACACTCCACATTCATGTTGAACTTTTTTTTATTTATTTGAAAACTACATCCTTTACCTTTCTCCTCCACCTGGTTGGCTTTTTTCTTTTTCTTTTTTGTCCTCGTCCTGACGTCACCCTCTTCATCTTTTAGCTTCCTTTTGCCTCCTGCAGCAGACTCATCTTCTTCACCCTCACATTCCTCTCCATCATTATCCTCCTCATCCAGTCCTCTGGCACTCTGAGCTCTGCTGGTTTGTCTTGTGCCAAAGAAGTCGATCGCAGAGAGAGGATCTGTTGACGCGTCTCCTCCTGATCTAACAACCTGTGAAATGAAACACAGTACCGTCACTGTGATAGTATGATAAGCCTGTGTGTCTAATTATCTCATATAAGTGCGCTGAACATCCCTAAAATATAAAGATAAAACTCGGGGAAACAAACATGCCGCACACTTCATGCTAAATGCGTGTTAGCTTCAAACATCTTAAACTGTGGCTTCTGCTGCTCGTATCAGTGGATGTCTTCCTTCATATCAAAAGTTACAAACGTGAAGTTTACCTTAAACCGAGAGGCGTCCTGACCGAATCTCTTCAGGTCAAATTTAGCTCCTGATCCGAGTTTCCGAAACAACTCAAACGCGTCCATGCTTAAAGCAGCAGCGTGGTCTGCACGGATCCAGACATCACTAATCAACTCCCGGAGCAACCGACCCGTGAACACTGCTGCCCTCTGCTGGCTGCATCAAAAAAGTCAAAGAATAAGTAAATAAATAAGTCAAACTTTATTTATATAGCCACTTTCAGACAAATTCAATTGCAGTTCAAAGTGCTTAACAAGAGTGCAGAAAAGTTGTTGACAAAAAGTAGTTTATAAAAATAATTGATAAAATCATTGAGAGACTATTGCACACCAATAAGAATTAAAAAAATATGTATAAAAATACAATTAAATAAAATTAAATACGACACATAAAAGCAACAAAATATTAAAATAAATACATGAGGAAAATATTTAAAATTGTCGTAGGATAAAAAAAAGACAATACAGTAATAAGATTTGAATTGATATAAAACACTATATAAAAGCCAGATAAAGTAAATCACACTGATTCAGAAACCTATCACACAATCAACGACTGTCATCCTAGAAGATCAGTTTTAATCCATTAAGCTGTAGCTTGTATTCAAGGGTGGATTTGTTGTATTAGAATAACCTCGTTTCCCCCTTTTCAAGCTCCACAAGTGTGAAATTGGTGTTTTTAACTTATGTCGGCCTCAGTCCACAGTTTTCATGCCTTTTTATTATGTCAATTGAAAAGGGGAAAAATGAAACAATAAATAAGGACACCTACGTGGAATTAATAAACTGTGTCCTAAATATGCAAAAAAAAAACATATTTAGGATGTTTGAGGAAAAACCAAAAAATCAATACATATCCAAATAACATTTTTATTTTGTTAAATCTGACATAGACCAACACAAAAACAATTATTGGAATACAGACAGACTTTATCATCTGAAAATAACATAAAATCCACTGAGACGTGTAAAAGAACGTATTCAGATTATTTACTGAAGTAAAAAATGATGTCACATTGCTAAGCTATGCATTCAAAATACCTCTGAAGTATAAAAGTAAAAGCATCATAATATAGTAAAAGTGAATGACAATTGTTACAGGAGAAGCCATTATGTTACTGCAATATTAACATTTATAATTATAACCAAAGCATTAATGTGCACATAACTTAAAAGTTACAGCTGATAAAGGTTGAGGTTCTGGCCTCTTAGTTATAGAATCCTTGATAGTGACATGATTGAGCATTATCCCTCACTTTCTCAGTTGATTATATTTCTGATATAGAATCTAGCAACTTAAAACTGTCAACAAAGAAAAAAATAAATAAATTAAGGAGTATTTTTCCAGCAAGGCAACTGTGATATCTACACGTTTCCTGTTCTTTGAGCCATCAGATAAGATCATTTGATCACTTTCATGAATTCAGTGTATTGTGGAGAGGAAGAGGTGGGAGAGGAAGTAACAGTTTTTTTCATGTTACTTTCACACTTTTTAACCTTAGTGTTTTGATGTTCAACCTCAGGAAAGCAGCATGTAACAAACAGATCATACAAAGGAATGATAAGGTAACACCTTCTTTCTAAATGACACCCCTGATCGGGTCACTCTTTACAATTATCCACATGACTCACTTCATCCTTTTGATGAAGTGAATGCTCCAGTTTGGCTCATGGCAGCTGTCTTGAGATGACTCAAAAAGTCTGTCAGCACATTATCCATAGAACGTGATCCCCATCTCCTGCAGTCTGCATATCCAAGTGTCATTAGGTACTGAATCCCCAATAATTCATAGGGGAATAGCCAGCAGGGTGTGAATGCATATCAATGTGATAAGTAAATACTGATTGGCACTTCACATAGCATCCTCCATCATCGGTGTGTGTATGAATTGATGAATTTAGTGTAACAGGGCTTTGAGAGGGCAGAAGACTAGAACAACCCTAAATAAGTCCCTTCACTTTACACGTCTTGTTTTGATGAAAATCGGTTGCCAGACTACACTTTCTTTCTTCTTTTGGTACCCAAATGTATCTGCAGAACCTGGTATGTCATGGATTCACTGCAACTTAGACTGTCAAGCCCTTAAGAGAACATGAGGCCTTCCCATGGTGCAGATCTAATATTTTGCCATCACTTAAACCAAAAAAAAGACCATTCCATTTTCAGGAGAGGTTAACATTGTGAAACAGATGACAATTTGCAAAAGCAACACACATTAAAACATTTATTTTTGGGGTTTTAAGCTTATTCACAAGTCTTTAACAAATCCTCGAGGAAATCAACCACCTCCTCCCTTCCTCTCTCCTCCTCTCCTGCGGCCTCTAGCCCTTTCAGTCTGATCAGAGTTTGCTGCAGACCTCCAATTCTCTGCTGAGGGGTGAAACTATCCCCTGTGTCCTTCTCCCCCTGTGCTCCCTCTCCTCCCTCTGTGCCCCCTCCTCCTTCTCCTCCTCCTTCCTCTGCCCTAACATATTTCATCAAATGTTCTCTGATGCCCCTCCCCTCATTCCCAGAAAGCGACGACCCAAGCGCTGGCATGTCCAGCGACTGGCTGATGCTGAGCAGGTGCAGGAGCGCGTGAGAGAGTGTGTGTCGCAGGCTGGCGCTGTAGCGGTACTCTAAGAAGTCGTTTGTGTCCTCGCTGTTCTCCAGCGCTGTGGCCAGGGAACGCCACACACAGCTGAACCGCTTCACGTCCCCATAGAAGCTGCGATCGGAGGGCACTGCTAGGGCGGCCGCAGACTTGATGCGCACCTTGAAGTTCTTACAGGAGGTGACGACATTGCAGAGGGCAGAGAATGCATCACGAGACCAAGGGGCTGAGTCTGACAGAGAAAGAAAGAAAGATGAGCTGGAAAGTTTTTTACTGTTAACTTCAGATCAATCACTGTCAGGTACAATCTAATAAAAAAAATAAATAAAAAAAATAAATAAATAAAAACTTGTTCAACCAGCTTTTATCCACCTGGTAAAAAATAATTGAAGGATATAAGCTTACTCTCTTCCATATCTATACTACTCTGATATCTATAAAAAGCTTACACCTGCAGGCTGTTTACGAGATCAGCACAAAGACTGGAAACATGGGGACACCGAGCAGCATCCTGCGGTGTTGAAATATGAAGCCTATGCAGAAGAACAAAAACAATATGCAGTTTTTGAAGGTCCACTTTAGGCTGGCTCCTTAACTCTGGGTCACTGATCCGAAATCTATGTTTCATACAGTCTATGATCAGGTCCCATATTATATAATTCCCATTTTTAGAGCAGAAGTCAGGTGTTTACCATGTTGACATCCTGGTACAAAAAATGTTTTTGGTCTCTGTAGCTCATTTCTTTATTGGTAAAAACTTTAAGGGGTACGAATCCTTTTTTTTTTTTTTAACTCATCTGATTTGATGATATTCAGGAGTTTTGCTTGATTAGGCAAAACAAGTGGCATGGCTGATTTGACTGTAAGGCATTGATGGATTCCATAACTCCTCTTCAGAAACAGTTACAGTCTAGGAAACAGCTGAACCGGCTCTGTCCAAAGCTAACTACTGTACGTTAGTCTTGAGTTTGACATTTTTGAAATTAAGGTCCCGCCTGGTCATCATAAAGAGTACAGGTTTAAGACACGACCAATTGGTGCCACTTTTTAGACCAGGTCCCCTTCTTAAGGCACACTCACACTAGGCAATCTGTACCATGCCTAAGCACGCAAAGTCCAGTTCGTTTGATGAGTGTGAATACTCGAATCCGTGCTCAAGTACGGTACCCTTCCTTTGCCCCGGCACAGGCCGGACAAACAACAGGAGCCGTGACAAATACTTACCAAGAGGCAGAGAGGGGTTTCTGAAGGCATTTCCTAATGCACAGCAGGCGTTCCATCTGACCTTCATCGTGGCTTCTGACTGCACAGTTTTAACCAGAGAACGGACTGCGTCTTCTAGCGGGCGCTGAAACGCAGACCGGGTCATCTGACTCCGACGCAGAAAATGAAGCAGATTCCCAAGAGCTCGCACTGCGTTAGACTTCACCTGTAGGGAGGGAGCAAGTTCAGTGTGGTTTAAAAGAAAATCAAAGATGACTAGGACATGACGTGGCAGAATAAAATGTGGAAAGAGTAAACAAACATGAGTTTTTGTGTCTCATTCTTTCGTGTAAAAGTGTGAAATCTCTCACCCTGTCTTTGTCGTCTGATGCTCGGGTGGCTGCCTGCAGCATCTTTAGGAGCAGCATGTCTGATAACTCTTCCTGAAAGTCCACACCTACACTTTCCCTGACAAAGAGACAGGAGTGAAAGACGCGGTTAAACAAGTATACTCAAATTAATGTATAAAAGTTCAAATCAGTCACTAACAAAACAAGGTTTTTCTTACGCCCAAAAACCTTGTTTCTTTCAACATGCCTTCTTCTTTTTAAAATGAATTAGGTTTCTGATGTAATGTTACAACACACTTTGTATGCAAGTTTTCTTACATGTTAACAATAAGCGTGTCTGTCAGGTTGCCGAGAGACCAAGCCGCCTTCGCCCGGACATTTGGAGACCGATCCTCAAGGGCAGCGAGGATAGTGTTTGCTGTATCTGCCACAAACATCACATCCTGAAAGAAAACCAAAACACAACTTGTATAACAGATCTTTGTGGGATGATAACCAGAAGCATGTTGCTATGTGGTCCACTTCAGCACCTCTCTCAAACAAGGGAACAGTATGTAGACCCCCAAAGCCCTGACAGCTGCAGTCTTCACCAGATAGTTCTCACTGTAGGTCAGTCCCAGAAGCATGGTGATGCACATCAGCTGGGTCTTGTCCTGAAAAGAAAACACAATACAGAAGGTAGAAGGTAAAGCTTGATGATGCAGAAGATTATCTGTGTAAAAAAAAAAAAAAAAAAACTGAGACTGAGAGAAAACTCACAGGCAGCTGAGCAAAGGCCTGAGGCAGGATGGAGGAGAGCGTTTCGCAGGCGCTCGTCTGCAGCGTGGGATGTTGTTCATTCTGAAGCGCTGCGTTCAGGGGGCCACTCAGGACCTCAGACCAAAACAGCACCACCTGCATTATACATATGTATGAAATTTAAGACAAATTACTTCATTTCCAGGCCTTAAACTTTGATTTCTGTCAACAACTTTC